ATTAACGCTCATTAAAAAAACGCACGAAAACGCGTTTATTGGCGTTTTTTGCAACTTCATGGGTGTTAAAACGGCGACAATTCCCGTTTTTGAGCGTTAAAACGCACTATTATTCTAGAACTTAAAAATAATACGTTTTNCGCTTCGAAACGCAATCTTGGAAAAACGCGTTTCAGATCGTTTCAAAAAACCACAGCAGCAAAACGCATTCTATCGAAGTAAGAATGCTGTGAAACGCGTTCTATATTGAAAAAACGTTGCGAAACGCATGCTGCAATCTCAGAAACGCGTTACGCAGTCCGTTTCCTTGAATATTTTACTCCATGGGCGGAACTAGCTCAGCAGAATGTACGCAGTATGGTGACCCACCAGTTCTATCTAGTGGATCGATGCTCAATTACAACGAAATGGTTCAAGTATGCCAAAACATATCGGGACAGCTACTCACTTTCACGGATAGTAATAATGAAGCGCGTTGCGCATGTCTTCTTATCACATCCTCATCAAAAACTTTGCCTCTAGTCGTCTGGCTTCAACCATCAGTTGTTTACCCGACGTCAGTATATAATACAAACTTCACAGTCGAAGCATTTACTGCCAAATTGATAAATACGAGAAGTGGCCCATGTGGCTATCATTTACTTCTTCCAGCCGCTCGAGTCACGAAAAATTTCGAATGTGGCGCCATTGATTGTATTGCCTGGGACACTTGGTATCGAAACTTTAACCGATCTGATCCGAAGATGAATGTCGACGTTGAGACAATCGACTATTTCGTTAATCATGTAGTCTGCCATATGTCCAATCTTCACGTTGATTCCTCTCGTGTATTTCTATCTGGTTGGAGCAATGGGGCCTCGATGGCATTGCTATATGCGCTCAATACACCCAACATTGCTGCTGCAGCCGTATATTCATCGACAAATCCTTATAAAAATGACAATGATCCATGCCCACAAACACCCTATCCATTGCAACGTACATCAGTACTTGATTTGGTCAATAAATGCGATTCTACTGGTATTTGTCTAGGGGGCGAAGAATTCATTGCTGATTTGAACAATCGTTACAGAAATCAGGTGACTGCTAAATTTATCACCATCAACGGGTATTCTAATCCTACGCCGACGCCGATGCCAACGTGTATGAATTGTTCAGAAGTGAACGGTTTGCGTAATCATGGTCGATGGCCAGTGAACCTTAATACCCAGATATTCTATGCCTTTTTTCGAAATTATACATCACATTGAAAAGATCTACAGATGATGCCTAAAACGAAGTATCGTGAATCGCTCTGAAACAATTATTCTTTATTCTTTTCTTGACATTTTTTAATAGTTGTTAATGGCTCTATTTCTAAATACAAAGACTATAATTAAGAGAGTAAATACTGAGCAGAGAGGGGTGGGAATATCCTTATTCTCACTGTGCTTTAGTCGTTATTGAATCAGGCATACTTCAACATAGGGGCAAAGATGGGAGAAGACAATTGATTGTGAATCAATGACTGAAATTGTCGAATGCCATTCGAATCAGCAAGTGCAACATCGATGCCTTCGAGCACCAGTCTATCATACAATTTTTGCGAAACGGTCTTTCACTATCCATTGATAAAGACATCGAGAAGCTGTGTTTCGACTATTGTTCGGATAGAAGTTTGAAGACGCGCAGACGTCTAATCTGCTCATAGATAGGGTGAGTGTGGGTGTGGGTGTGAGTATGAGCGTAAGTCTGAGTCAAATTAAGAGCACACCCACACTCTCAATCAAATATATTGCCATTGAGCAATGTCAGTCTAGCAATCAAGTATTGCAATATGGAATTAGTATAAGAAGGTGAAGGAAGCTACCAAAAGACATTAGATAATTTTAAAAGAGCACTCGAAATGTAAATGAAATGTTCAGAACCTGATCATCCATATCTCATGAATAATCATAATAGGATTGATAGTATGCATTGGGAGCTTAATCTATATGATGATGCACTGAATATTTTTACTAAAATTCTTGAAATTCAAAAAAATCTCCACCGATGATCTCTGTCACGTGTGCAAAAATGTTCATTAATATTACTGTTATATATTCCAAACAAGGCTATTTCATAAATGCCTTAATTAATTGTGAAAAGCATTAGAAACTCAATTAAAATGTCCTAGTAGTTTAGAACCTGAGAATCTTCCATTATCGTACAATAACATCGCAGGTATTCATTGAAGACAAGGTGAATGTGAGTTACCCTTATTTAATGCAAATAAAACTCTTCAATATTGTCCAAAAACTCATAATTTACGTGCGGCTGCCTATGATATATTAGCCGACTTATCTTTGACACAAAATAAATTGCAGAAAGCTATTGATCGTTACTCGAAAAAGATTAAAGTAATGAAAGCAACTCAACACTGGAGTCATTTCAAACTAGCCAAGAGTTATAATAATTTGGGAATGATTTATTTTCAATTATTCGAATATGATTTAGCTTTAGCTAATTTTCAACAAACACTAGATGTCGAATAAGTATCACTTCCGTTTAATCATCCTAATTTTGCTATAAAACTCAATAACTTAGGAGATGTTTATATATTATGCAGAATTAGTAACGACTTATCAGAATCTTAGTGAAATGTATTCAAAATTTGAATAACTATGCTGATGCATTAAATATGAATGAAATGGCACGTAAAAGCACCTTGGTATATTTCTCTCCTGATGGTATTCAACTCATATCACTATAGAGTGATTTAGGTGAAATAAATTGGCAGTAGTGCATTTTGTCGCACAACAGTTTCTTTCGTTCTGTACATCCCATCTCTCTTAATTAATTCTTTTTTTTTTATACAAAATTAAGGAAAATTCTAAAAGATGTGCACAGTAGCAATAGAAGATTGATTGTTCTAAGGCATATGACTTTAGTTGGGAAAGTGGATCAATAAAAAACATTAATCAAATGTGATTCTGATAGAGCTAAAGTAAACGAAGAATAATTAGATTTGTCACGCAGTGAATAAATTTCAACATAATCTGTACGAACGACAATACTGATCCAATGTTCTTAATTACGCGATCACTATAAACAAAAATATACATTGATGATGTTGAAAATATATTTCCTCTCTCAATCTCAACGTTCACTGAACATTACTCTTCAAACAAAATGTCTCAAATGGCGAAACTCCTTTCTGTAAAAGAAAAAGCAATGCTTCTCTATGAAAGTTACATCTACACTATAGAACGTACAATAGCGATATTTTTAACCTCATCGATGTATATTTTTATTTATGGTGGTCGCATAATTAAGAAAATTGGATCAGTATTGTCGTTCGTACAGATTATGTTGAAATTTATTCACTGAGTGACAAATCTAATTATTCTTCGTTCACTTTAGCTCTATCAGAATCACATTTGATTAATATTTTTTATTGATCTGCTTTCCCAACTCAAGTCATATACCTTAGAACAATCAATCCTCTATTGTTATTGTACACATCTTTTAGAATTTTTAATTTATTTTATTTTATTTCGATTGGCTATATAAAAAAAAGAATTAATTAAAAGAGATGGGATGAACAGAACGAAAGAAACTGCCGTGCGACGAAGTGATTGGTCACCATTATTTTATTACTAGGAGTGTGGGAGAAGATAAAATATCTCAAAGAGATAGAGAATAAAGCAAGGAAAGCATTATTCTATAAAACACACTTCACACTTATTTTGTTAAAGTCCATTGCAGATTTTGTGCTGAATAATATATAACAACACTTGCCTAAATAACGCACACATATGCATACATATATCTCAGTGATGTATCTATATCAACAATTCTACAAATCATTTTTAAGTGTTAAGGAATAGAGTATGACTGTATGTAGAGCTCGTCGGCGCCAAAAACTTGGGACTGATATTCAGTTTATTGAATGCTTTTGGAATTCAGATCCGATGGAAATAGAATTTGATTGTCTTAATGGAACTTTATAACCGAAATTGAATAGCCACTCCGTTATATGACATATGTTTTATTTCGTTTATTAGATTACCATGACAAGCGTACACTACACATTTCTCAAACGATGAGAACCATGCTCAATCAAACTTACGACCAAGATCAACCCCAACAGCTCTAGATGTGAGTGAGTCTCCTAATTAATCCATTCCACGCAATCATTTATTAAAGATAGGTATAAACTTTACTTTTTCATATGATTTCAAATACACTGGCAGGGCATGTGTATCGGATGCTGCATAAGCTTTACCAAATCTCACACTAATAATGTTATCAGAATAGAAAGGCTCGGAAAAATGACAAGTAATGACGTAGTATCTAAGCAACTCCTTAGGATGACCATAAATGATAGATCTCTGTCATTTATTTGAATCAGAATGATCTAATTCTATTGAATAATATTGGAAACAGCGTACTAATGTCAACAAAGGAGAATCATATTAAATTATTCGTTTTCAATGTTTCATAAGTTTTTATTTAGATAAGTTCAAATACGTTCTTATTCAATCACTATAATATTCTAATTAGTTTGGTTTTCTTTTTAGGCTACGGTCGTAATAATAATTTCTATGATTATTCTATTTTCTCGTTTTCATATTCCTCTATCGACTTTAATTATCATCTTGATGAGTATTTCGGTCGTAATTATTTGCATTATATTTTTTGCTTCTTGTGTACAAAATTGGTTTTCATTTCGTCGGGTTCGTTTATTAATTTGTATCGATTAACAAATGTAATAAATTGATTTTATAGAAAGCGCAAGCAAAAGTCGATGAAGTTCTTATGAAAAAATTGCCAGAACATTGTCGAGCTTTTGCAAAAGGAATGGACTCATGCTGGTCGAACTTGGTTCAGTAATAAAATACAAATACCAGAAAATGAATGTTTAAAATATCAAGAAGCGTTAAATGCTTCACCCGATTTAGATGCTACATTAATTTCAGTAAACTTTTTGTTCAATTTATAAAACAATAAATAACGCGTTTTTTTTAAAGGCCTTGTCAATGACTATTGTTCAATTTTTTACTACACCACTTGGTCTAATAGGTGAAAACATATCACAATTGTTTGCTGGTATAATGCTTCATGTACCCAGATTGTCATGGCCATTCGTTATTGGTTCGATTTTATTTATATTAATTATTGTTCTAGTACTACATTCGGAGTCTCAAATACTAAAGACACTTTTCGCAGCAGTTTCTTTGGGAGTATCTTCTACTGGTGCTATTGAAACATCTACAAATATCACACAATTACAACAAGCATTAACTGATTCGCAAAATAGTATACAAAGTTTACAGAATAGAGTAAACGAATTGGAACAAAAAAGTCTTGCGCTTCAATATAGACAACATAAAAGCCGATCATTAAGTGGTGAAAGAATAATGCTTCATGGTGAAGCTTCATCATCAAATCAACAAGAAAAAATTGAAACTAACGAGAAAAATGAATTAAGACAACGAAAGCAATCATTAACAAGTGAAAGTCAATCTTCAAACATTAATGCAACGGATAAAAATCAATTAGAACAAGAGATGTCATCAACAAATAATAACTTACCGGGTGAGTCATAATGACTGCAACATTTAGTATTTTGCAAATATCTTAGCAGGAATAAATCATATAATCTTGATTCGTTTTTGAAAAGATGCGCCGTGGAAACCTCTGCAAAAGTTGTAAGGACAAATCTCTATTGATTTCTTCTGATGGTGTCTCCCATATTGAAAATGAATAGCTCACATGATGGTGCTATGTCCCACCGTATTAAATATTTGACAGACTTTTTTGTTTTGCAAATATCTCGCCTTGATAAAATGACAAAACCTTCACTCTTTGTTCAGAAGTTACGCCGTCGAAAGCTCTACAAAAACTGTATGAACAAAATCCCTATTGACTTGCTCTGATGACTTTTCTAGTTGATAAAAAAAAAGATCTGCTTGATGTTGCTACTGAGTGTTCAAAAATATTTGCAATATTTTTTATTTCGTATAAATCTCGGCTTAAGAAAATGCTAGAATCTTGGTTTCCTTCCCAAAAGATGCGCCGTGAAAAGTTGTACAAAAAATATATGAACAGCTTTCTATTGCAAAACAGAAAAGTCTTCCAAATATTTAATACGGTGGGACATAGCACCATCATGTGAGCTATTCATTTTCAATATGGGAGACACCATCAGAAGAAGTCAATAGAGATTCGTTCTTACGATTTTTGTAGAGCTTTCCACGGCACATCTTCTCAAAAAAGAATCAAGATTATATGATTTATCTCTGCTGAGATATTTGCAAAATACTAAATGTTACAATCATTTTGACTCACCCGATATATCTTGATTAGAATTTATTTATCTCTCATTATACATGTACCGTTTTTTACAACTATCCCGTGATACACAGTAGCTGTTGAAATCATAAGAAAACATATAATTTCACATTTTTTCTATATCGGCAGTCTCTAAAATCGATTTAGAGTTTTAGTTGAATATTGAAAATTGTTTTCAATCGAAATATGCAAATCTTCATTGGATTGCCTTATTCTATGAATGACTTTTGAGCATTTCGAAAATAAGTAATGGCTCCGACGCAATCAATCGTGAAAAAGGATGTGATTGTGGGTGGTTGGGTGTGGATTTTATCTTTAATCATACCCATACACACCCTCACCGATATTAATGAACAATTTCCACTTTCCGCTATGTATCAATGACTCGATACAGTTATTACTTGATTAGGTTTTTACACATGGGTGTTTTCAAAAGCTTTTTTCAATCCTCTTCTCTTTCAGGGTGAATTTAGATAAATATCGAATAGTTAATTAATTAAATATATTCTATTATTTTAGATAATAATCATGAGAGTCGTTTAATTATATCGTTATCATATTTTATCTCGAAAATATCAATGAATACATTACATGATATTGTAATATATTTTCCACCTTCAAATCAATCACATGTATTTACAAGAACCAGGGTTGCCATTTGTTATTTTTCAAATGGGGTTTTTGAAAGTCAAAATGGAGTACATTTGGGGTACATTTTCTCCCCATAAAATGTAGAATTTGATTGAGAAAACCAATAAACTAAAACTTCTTTTATACAAGATGACACAATATTTCACTATTTTTATACCTGGATTAGCTTAATCGTTCATTTTTTCTCAAAAGATACTTCACTAGTAAACTAATATGTTCAAAAATGGAAACAACATGATTAATAAAAATAAATACGAAACTGTACATGAATACACGTTCAATTTTAAATCATGTAGATCAATGTTTTTTCCTAAAGTTATACTTTTCTGTACGTCTAGCACATTGTATTAATTCAGGTTCATTTTGTACGTATAAAAAAATCATCACATTTCATTTGGCCATTTAATCTTATTTGTAATTCAGCAGCAATTGTTTCAACAGACATTAAATTTCTACTAGGTATCCATGCTTGTTTCATGGGATTAAACACCCCTTCAGTAAAAGCATTGGAACAAGGAATAGAATAAACAAAAGAAATTAATTTTGTTATTTCTTGAAGGTTTGTCGTTGCTCTTGAGATCAAATAAGCCCAGAGTTGATCTGGACGAATTCTACGATGATTGTGTTGATGATTTGATGTTGTTGTTTTATGAAAAAATCTTTCTTCTTCAGCTGTTTCTTCGACTTCATTGAAATTACGATTACCAATATATTTTTGTATCTGATCAGAGAGTGATTCACGATAGGAAACAATTTCCTTGAATGTTGATTGTATATGAATCATTTCGTCAAACAATTTGTCGTGATTGAGTTCAATATGAAGAATAGCTACACAACGTTCGATTTGATCGAATGTAATTTGATCAATTTTGATGATTCCTAAAATCGAAAGAATTTTTTACCTCCTTTTTCTAAATCATAAAAAATATATCGAAGATGGATAATGTTTCAGCTAATAACGCATGCTCTGAGTAATATTTATTAATATAATTAATGATATTCGATAAATATTTTGTAAATGAAGAAATTGCTTTTTCCTGTTCATGCTTTGACATTGAATTTAATAATAAACGTGTATTATAACCGAAATACTTTTGTTCAAGTCGATCGTTTAGTTTTTTAAGCAAACTTGTGATAATTCTGTGTAAATCAGCAATTGATGTACTGTATCGTTGTAGTTCCAAATTTTTGATTTGAATATCAAATAATATTTGATGCAAAAAGTACAATGTGCATTTGAATATATTCGATAAAAAAAAAGGTTTTGATCATCGGTGGACATGTTTTTGTGTCTTCGTCTTCATTTTCATTTTCATTATTAATATCACAAAAATATGAAGATAAGGGTTCATAAACTTTTAATAATCGATCAATTGAATTGTGTAAACTAAGCCAACGAATTTTTATATGTTGAAGCAAACGCGAATCGGATGACATTCTTGTATCTATATTCAAATATACACAATTGAGCAAACTTACTATATAATCTTCTTCGACAAACTCGAAATATTCTTTTAATTCAGCAACACGTTTTGATGATGAACTAAAATGACTATATAGCTGAGATAAATACGACTCAACATCAACCGGTAAATGTTGATGGGAAACTTTGACTGAATTAGATAAAACATAGCAAAAACAATTTCATTAAAGAAGAAAGATGCATTTCTACAAGAATTTTATGTTTTTATATTATACTATTACCTTTGAATAAATTTAAAACTTCACGCTTCAAAATGCTAAAAACCGAACGATATCGACCATAATTGGTGTTCGTATTATCAGCACCAATGGATGTCAATTTTTGAATATCAAGATTATTTTTTTTAATACATTATGCAATGTATCAACAATATTATCAGCTGCTTCACGTGGTTGTTTCACAACTTCTAATACAACTCTTACAATACCAGATTTAATTGTAAAATAATTAATAATGAATGGAAACATCTTTATGTTCCCCTTGTTAGAACCATCAAAAGATAAAGAATAAAAAGAACATTGATCAAGTTGTTGAATAACTTTAGAAGTAAAAAATGGAGCTAAAATTATGAAATATTATATAAGAAGAGAAGCTAATATTGTTGATACATTGCATAA